ACCAGAGAGGTAGGCATATTTTTGGATATGCCGTATTTTTATGGCTGAGTGACCCTACAAAGAAACTTTTGTGACAGATGGATAAAGAAAAGACTTAAAAATCATTCTTATATTTGTAAAATGTTTATAATTTTCAAAGTGCTTATTCTCGTTACTACACTATGTGTCATTTGATTCCTACCACCATCCTATGGGTTGGGGAGCCACTTTTCCAATGGAGAATTTCAAGTTTCAGAGAGTTCTAGCGACTTCTCCAAAGTCACACAGTTGGTAAGTGCCTTCTGGTACTTGAATTTCGATTGTTAACGTTCAAGCCTGCATGGTTTGCACTCACTGCTTCTCCAACGTGTCTTCAACCCCGTGGTGCTACAAGTCCTTCTCAGGGGGCCACCAAGTCTTGATCAATGAGTAAAATTCATTTTCAGGACAGAGGATAGGTACTTTATCTACACGAATTCCCCCAAATGAACTTCAGTGGGGTGAAGTCAGGGGAGGGATGCTATAAGAGGAGGGTAGAGAGAGAATGTGAATAATGCAGGTGCATAGCCTACCATGACACTCAGAGAATGCCCACCAAGGAGCTTAAAAATGCGAATGATTTGTCCAACCTGTCCCATAAGTGCCAGCCAATCATGTCATCAGGGGCCCAACAAAAGTAACTGAAGTCTGTTGCAACCCTGGGAGAAACTGGCAGTGCTAGTCATATGTCGAGAGGACAGATGAGTGTTTTACAGGAGGTTTACAAAACTTTTCAAGGCAATTTTGTCTAGGTGAAATTTTTCCTTCCTTGCTGACTGTATACCTTATACCCCGCTTAAAACACAACTCTGTCATTTGCCAGGTAGAAAGAAAAGATGCCCTCCATGTGGAGGCCACAGCACTTACCCAGCAAGGGAGAATGAGGGCGGTGGACACTGCCCTGGGACTGAGCAAGTTACTTCTTAAAACAGTCCTTTTGGTTAAACTCACTTATTAACATGGTATCAATGGCATATTTTCATGTTTGTAAAAGTTGTCAAAGTCAAGATTAAAACCAAGAAACTCAGATTTTTATGACATGGTAGAAAGAGCAACGGGCTATGTCAGAAGACCTACACGCAACTCCTGGCTTTGCAGCTAATTAGGAGGTGACCTTGTCATTCACTTAACCTGAGATTAATAAAAATGGTCTGGTTTACTCACACTCGGTTACAGAAGGATTAAACAAATTAATATACTCTTGGGAAAAAATAACACATGTTAAATACGTGTATAAAGTACAGCTCCTGGCCACAGTGCTCTGAGTGGTTCACGTGAAGCGACTGATTATAGCAGAGAAAACACCTGGATGATTGGGATGTGACTTGTAGGCAAACCGCCACCTCTTGCTCTGTTGTCTTTGCTAGTTCTCTCTCACTTACCGAACAACGGTTAGTCAGTTAGAATAGGAGGAGCTCTCTTCCAGCATTGATATGGTCTGCTTTTCTGGAGCATTCAGGGTAGCTTCTTTCCTGCTCTTTTCTCACTGCTAGGGGTATCTGGCCACAGAGTTCAGATGTCTTGATTTTCCTCCAGTTCGGGTCATTTTTCATGGATTTTGCCGACCATTCTATCTCCTGGGAGTCTCCAACCATCACCTGGCTGTGTGTGCTAAGTATGCAGCTGTGGTCTCAGCTCCAAACCCATCCTTCTTGCTAGCTGACATCGTGTTACGTCCTGCCGATAGGTGGTGCTAGAGAGAGAATGGACTCAGGAGGCGAGAAAAGGAGCGTCTGGCTTTTCCTTGTCAGCGTTGCTCTGGCAGACGCAGCTGGCTGTAGCCATCAGCCTTTTTCAGCACTTCCAGAGCCCTCTTTTGCCTCTTTAGAGGCCATCAGCAATGGCCATGCCTCTTGCTCAGAAATCTGTGCACCAGTTCCTCAGAAACTCACACCTGTTTTTCTTTTGTCACCTCAGCTCAGGAATGGTACCTGCTTCCTCAGTGTTCTTTTGTTTTTTCGGTCTTCCAAGACCTGAGTAACCAATTTCTGTATTAAATCCCATGTGTTTGAAATTCTTAGTGTGGTTTCTGTTTTCCTGACTGGATCCACACTGATAAAGCCACTCTTCCCCAAATCACGCAGTATCTTATTCCAGAAGATGCCTCATTCAGCACTTCACAAGATTCTATATTTTAAGGAAAACCTTCTATGAATTTCATTACATTTATAAAATACTTGCTGCCTGTCATTCAGACCCCACACTTCACCCCACACTTGTAGGCTGAGCGTGTATGCTGCTTCTAGGGGGCAGGTACAAATGGAAGGTGGTTATTTTATTACTCTGAAATGAAGTTTAGCTTTCATTTGATAACCAAACCTTAGTCACGTCCACAAATAAAATCGTATACTATTAAGCAGTACATGATAAATATGCATCATTATAAACTGCCTCAATTTTTCCCCTAAAACATGGCAGAGCATAAGAAAATAAATAGACATAGATTATACATACAGGCAAACATGTGTACATACATTATTTATAAATTCTTGGCTCCATCATTTCTTCTGCCCCATAAATTACATGTATATGTATATATATTTGTATGTGTATGTATAAAATGTGTATAATATAACGAGAGTATTTATATTTCCAGCTATTCCATTTTCTGGTGTGCTTGGGGAATAGGATTCGAAGTTATCACCATTTTATAAATGAGGTTTACAAAACAGGCTCAAAGGAATCAGGATGGTTTACCTGCCTAGAGAGTGACGGATCAGCCTGCTTGACTCTCCATTACAGTACAAACCATTTCCCTGAAGCCTGACCGCCCCTCACCCCCCCTCCTTGCTTCTCAGGTCCCTGAGATATGCAGCATCCTTGAAAGAATGTGGCTGCCCCTGACAGCCTGGAACGGAAAGTTCAGCCCCCGGCTTAGTAACTTCGCGCTCTGACTATGAGTCTTGCTCTCTCTTCTTTGACTCTCCCCTCCCTTAAAGAGGAAAGTTATTTTCAAACCTCCATCTGTTTTGTGTTTAACGTGAAGAAAGGTTGCACATTTTCAGGGACCTTGTTCATAAGCAGTAGATTGTACAACAGTTTATTACACAAGTGGGGGTTTTTATTGCTGGCCTTTGTTGAGTTGCCAACTGGGAGAAAGAACATAACGTGCTTAGCGGTCTCTATCAGGAAAAATGAGAAAGCATTAAATACCAGTCAAATAGTTAAGCATCGAAAAGTGGGTAATCAAATCCAGAAATCCCTGGAGCATGGCTGGCGAGAAGGGTTTTTCTTATTAATAGTGTTTTCATATCCATAATGTTTCTCGAGTCGCTATGTCACAGGCAGTATCCTAAAGTATTATGTGAGATGTGTAACAATAGTGGAGTAAGTTTTTGACCTAGAAAGACTCATATCCACTTCAAAATCTGACCCTGATTGGTGCAGGACATCAAACTGGAACCCCACAAAGAGCTTGATTTATTTCTAAATCACATCACAATGTTGGGGACATCGGTTTGCGGACAAGTGCTCACTAAGGAATAAGGAACGATAAGCCCCTTTCCTCATCCTGACCTGTATGCTCCGTGCTGCTAGGAAGGACTAAAGTCACAATCCTGTATTTCACTACAGCTTCGCTCCCAGCCATAAGACAGGAGAGGGTAGAAAACTTCCACAAAGCATCCTAAGAAACATGGTATCAGAACCATTCCAACTGCAACAGGCAGATGTCAATGACAATGGGTTACTCCAGCTCCTTCCTGTCCATTTTCCCAAGAGCTCAGACCATCGCAGAAGCTGCTGGATAAAAGTCAGTGGAGACCTCATGAATGCTCCAGTCTTATAGTTCTCAGCCCAGGCTGCACTGTATATTAGAATCTGTGCATTCTGTATATTAGGCTCACTTGGGGAGCCCATCCCGAACTAATAAATAAAATCTCTTGGGGTGGGCTTTGCTTTTAACGTTCTCCAGGTGATTCTAACCCAACAGGTTGGACTGCAAACCACAAATCTAATCCGGCCACCTAATTTTACTGGTGGAGGAAATTGAGCCTGGAGAAGTTAGTGTCCAAAACAACTGACTGACAATACCTGGGTGGCACTCTTTTCCAGCGAGCTTTCTCACTATAACGCTACTTCATGTCCCGAGTCTCATAACCCTTTATTTATAAAGGCAACACATTCAAACCTATCCCTCTCCTCTCTTTCCTTGTACACAAATGGATGTGCTGTAACCTGTACTAGCAGCCAGCAGCACAAGTGTCTCCCAGGACTCCGAAGGAGAGTGTGGGACCACACAATCAGGGTGGTATTATCAGGGCTGCGGGAAAAAGTAGCTAACAGATCCACTTCTTTCTCTAGATGGTGCATGGAGAAGAGAGTCAGGAAGTTAGGAATCTGCCCTTAAACATGAAGGAGCTTCAATCTCACCCTCCGGTGATTAGTCCTTTGTTAGAATCTTTGCCTGTTTGAACAAACAGCCCTCGTTTATGCCTGAGTCCTGGCAGAAACGTGAATGTTCCCCCCAATCACTTCCAAAACTGTTCCAAATTGGACATAAGTGATCTGACCACCCTTCTCTAGATTAGTCCCACCAAAAGTCTCATCCCCTCTTTCATTGACAGGTACTTTTTCAGCCTGAGAATCCCAAGCCTTTTCCCAAACCCACAGGCCACGTTCTAATTGCACCCTGGCTGCAAGTCTGATAAACAATGTACTCAATCTGATAGGCAGCTAATACCCGGGGGGACATTGGTCGGTAGCCTTGGACTTCTCAGCTTAATCGCCCTAGCTTTAATGCCACTTAAATCAGAATGTAAGCACTGAAAGAATTTCAGGAATCCGATGATATAAATTGTATTTTTAGAGCCGTGAATGACTTGAGTGAGTGAAACAGTGCAGAGGCTAAAGATAGTTCTCTTTAGTTTCCCATGATTTATCACAGGCGAGTTCACAGCAGGTTAAAATAATTGAATGCCGTGATAGCATACATATTGGCATGGTTTTACGAGCAGTCATTCATAACATATTTGTCACAAAGCATAATTTCCATGATAGGACTCAGATCCGCATGCGATTTTTTTTGCAGCAACGACACAGTTGAAGTAACTCCTTGGTGGAGGCTGGCTACATTTTCACAATGTCCGGCCCCACGTTAGAACTTCGGGGAAAAGGCTCAAGGAAGTGACTAGTCCACCAAACAAAATGTAAGTATTTCCTGACAAAATGCTCACTTTTATTGGAGGATAAAGAGAAATGTCCTTTATGGGATGGTTGTAACTCAGGGGCTCTGGCTTGCCGACTCTACCCACCTCTTACGCCTTCTTTTCTTTTCCCTTCATTGTTTATTTTCCACTTTTCTCCCGGTGTACTCTTTTCTCTACATTGGCTGTGCCCCCTGGGCAAGTAATGTTTCCACTCTGTAATCAAATGCTATAATATGGGCATAATTAACAAGTGACTCCCTAGGGTCACTGTAGCCGACTAGAGATAATGAATGTGTGGTAGGTACACATGGGCCCAAGTTCGCCTGCGGAATAAATGCAAATTTCTTTTTTTTTTTTTTAAAGAAAATTTTCTATAAGCCTACTTAATTTCTATTTTGGGTCCTGATTTGGCTTAGTCATCGAGACATCATCTCAGTCAAATCAGGATGTCCCCATGCAAACCTGAGGAGAACGTAGGACCCATCTGATTTTCCATCTTCGGTCCTGTCTGGCAGCTCCATCCTTGAGTCACACGGGCTACCTGGGGGAAGCTGGGCTGCAGGGCAGGTGGCAGGGTCTCAGGGCTCCTTCCCAGGGACCCCACCATCAGATCACCTTTCTTGTCTTCTCTGGGCTTCCTCCTCCCCAAGTGTGCATAGGCTTAACTGATCTGGAGAAGGAATTTCCCAGTTTTTCATTTAATCTTCCAAATCTTTGGTTTATGCCTAAAGCCTGGGATTTGGGACTCAAAAGCTAAAAATATGACTCCTCTATTATCTACGCTTTGCTGGTTTTCCCTTCCCCGAAGCAGTAAAGACAGAAGGCCTAGCTGCCTAATGGGGAGAAAATGCAGGAAATACCAGGGGAAACAAATGGGCACATATCTTGGAGTAATTTCCCACCGCACAGGTAAAGATCAAGAAGCCTGGGCACACAGCCGTCAGTCAACAAAGGTGACTGCTGTCTGTCTGCGGGACAGATCAGAGAAGCGATTAAGAATACAGGCTCCAGAGCCAGGCTGCAAAATTCAAAGTCTGGCTCCATGCTTTCCCAGCTCTGTGCCCTTGGACAAGTTACCTAAACTTTCCTGCCTCAGTTTCCCCATCTACAAAATGGAGATTATAATAGTACTTACCTTACAAGTCCTATGTATATGAAGTGATCAATGAATTAATTTTGCTGTTATGGTTATTACCACTACTACAAACTTCTGTCCCTTAAAGCCATTAGCCTAACGTCATTGGTGACCATGATTGCATCGACAATGTTGACATACATAATACATCACACACAGAGAAGAAGGCAAACATCCCACACCTAGCGTTTCACAAGGAAAGAAGTAGCTACTGCTTCCAGGTATGAAGCTGGGCTGAGTTTCCTGGAAATGCAACCTTCTGGGTAGAATCAGGACAGGAATGGTCCTAAGCACTGGGTTAAGAAGGAATCAGCTGACCTCAGTCAAGGCAGTTCTGAGGTGCTGGCATAGAGAGGCAGACTCTTGAGCAAGAGTTGGAATTGGAAGACAGATCCATGCTTCCAATCCAGAGACAAGAAAGAGACAGAGGGGGAGGATGAGGAGCAAAGTGAGGGAGAAGCTGGTCAAGTCAGTGTGAGGACCACGCCTGGTTGACCATTGCTGGCAGTTGTTGGAGAACAGAACATACACTGGGCCTCTCCTGAGATGTGAGTCAAGTGTGGGCTTTGGCTGAGGGAGGTACCTCTTCTGTGAGCAGGGACAAGAAGGGGAAACTGAGGGAGAGACAACAGTCCACCAATCCCCATGCTACATGAATCTCATTCTCCAGCCCATCAAACTGATGAGCATTGAGAAGGAGAATATGGGGACCCTGACCCCTGCACCTGCCCACCCCTTCTATCCTAGAGCCAGTTTGGTCAACGTCCCTCTCAACCTACACTCAGCCAAGATGAACCAACCTGCAGGGACAGTGGAAAGAGCATCACATCAGGAGTCAGGAACTAGCCTACGGCCCTGGACATATCCCTTCACCTCCCTGGAATGAGGGCCCTCCTGAGGAGGTAGGAGCTGATGAGAGCATTTATTTGAGCTCTTCATTTGGGAACAGCAATGTGGCATAGTTAGGAGCGTGGGTTTTGGAGCCAGAGGAATGTCAATGTGAATTCTGTCTTTGCCATTTACTAGATGTAAATACAGGGCAAATAATTTATTTAATCTGTCTAAGCTCCACTTCCCTCATGTATAAAAATGGAGAAAATAATAGCACACTTCTCATATGATTATTTTGAAGATTAAATTCGAGAGTGTATGTGGAGTGTTCAGACTGTACTGCTGAAACGCTGTAAGCATTTGATCAATTGTTGCCAATATCATCATAGGGATTACTCAGTGGAACCCTAGGGCTCCATCAGATCCGGGGTGGGAGAACTCAAGATTGTGGGCCCTGCTTCATCCAGAGCATCTTTGTTTTTCTGTTTTACATATCGTTTTGTTAGTAAAAATTAATGTTCCACACTAAAAATATAATAATATTATCCTAAGTCACTGGACTAGAACAAGGGTTGGGAAACTTTTTGTAAAAGGGCCAGAGAGTAAGTATCTTAAGCTTTGTGGGCCCCATGTGGTCTCCACTGCATACTCTTTTCTTAGGGTTTGTGTCAGAAGTCAGTTCAGGCTTAGATGGAGAATAAGAGTATTTGTTAGGATAGGGTACCAGTCATGACACAGAACTCTCATCCGTGTATAACTAACATCTCAATGCCGAACACAGTTAAGATTTATTTCTCCTGTCACAGTAAAATGTGAATTGGGGGTTGTGGGGTCTACACCACAAAGTCTTCTGGGGACCAAGAATCCTTCCATCTGTGGCTTCTCCATCCAGCTGGAGACCTCCTCTGTATGGAAGGGAAAGAGAGATGGGCCCATATTCAAGAGCTCTTTAAAAATGCAAAAACCATTCTTAGCTCGGGGGCCGTACTGTGGTAGACCGTGGGCTGATCTTGGCCTGTAGTCCATGGTTGGCCCACTCCTGGATTAGACCATCTCTTACGTTCCTTCTGAAGATGAACCAAGCTTCTCTCTGATGAACCTTATTTTTCTCCATCAAAGTAGCCTAGTTACCCACATATGAGATCTCTCAGACTATCTTTAAGGTGATAATCTTTTCCATAATTACAACAGTTGTCAGATTAAGTGTTTTTGTTCAATTTTATGTGTAATATTACACAGAGTTCTTTTGTGGATAGTTTTCATAGAGATGGTGTATTAGATCCTTAGGGCTGCCTTTCCACAGAACCACAAACCAGGTTGCTTAAAACAGCAGAAATTTATTCTCTCAGAGTTCTGGAGGCCAGAAGTCCAAAATCAGGGTATTAGCAATGTTGATTCCTTCTGACGGCTCTGAGGGAGAATCCGATCCATGCCTTCCTCCCAGCTGCCAGGGATAACCAGGGATCTTTGGTGTTCCTTGACTTCTAGACGCATAACTCCAGTCTCTGCCTCCATCTTCACACAGTGTTCTCCCTGTGTCTCTGTGTCTTCACATGCCCATCTTTTTATTGGACTAAGGCCCACCCTAATGACTTCATCTTAACTTGATTAAATCAGCAAAGACCCTATTTATAAATAAGGTCATGTTCACAAGTACTGGGGGCTAGGAGTTCAACATACCTTTTGGGGGGACACTAGTCAGCCCATAATAAGTGATAAACAGCACACAGTTGCCTATTCGTATCTAGGAACTGTGAAGCGTTAGAACGCTGAGGACTGTTGGGGCTGCCCTGGGTTGTAACAGAGATGAGTAAGATAGGTGAGGTGCCTAGAGAGCTTAATTTTTACCCTTCATTGTAAATTGCAGAGAGAACAGTACTATTTAGCTGCTACCTTGAAGAATGTAGAATTTTCCTTTTTAAAGTGCTTTTTTATCGACATGGAACAATGAACTAGAAAATGTAGCACATTCTGTACCCTCCTTCTATTTTCATCTTATAAATGCTGTATTCAAAATACCGGAACGGTGTGGCTTGTGGTTACTAACAAAATTAAAAATAAAAGCAAAAAGCCCCATGGCATCCATGTCACCCTATGAGGGAAATGCACCCTGGTGACCTGGACAAGAAATGGACTTTCTGGTGAATGTTCACCCCTTTCTGCAGAGGTCGGGATTTGAAAATCACTACCAGCTGGTTGTAATTCTGTCCTGTTTCGAAACAGATGACTTAGACTGCTAAACCATCACTGGGGCTAAGATTTATTTTCCCCTACTTGGTCTAAGTTACAGAGATCCAATTTGCAAAATAGAGAAGAGAAAAGGGGCAAAATACTTTCTTGGTGACCTTACCCCACCTCTGCCAGAGGAAAACCTACTGATAACACACAACCAGCCCGTGCATATTGGCCCATGCCACACCATCTCTAATATTCCAAAGCAGGACTTGTGTCTGTCTTGCGAACATACACGGCACTTTCTATCTTCGTTCCTCTTCAGCGGCACTTCGACAGTCTGCCATGTTTATGAGACATATCTCTCCTCCTAAAGTGCAAGCTCTTTGAAATCTTGGTCTTCTGGCTCAAGGTGAAGAAGAAGAGGAAGGCAGTGGAGAGAGGGAAATTTGAGTTGCTGGAGAGGAAGGAGAAACTTGGAAGTGAATCCTTCAGGAACCAGGAATGATAGAGCAAAGGGCCAGACAGGAACGGTTTCTGCCCTGCACAAGAACACCAACCAGTGGGAATTTCATTTAAGCTTCCCTGGAAGCCAGCTAACTCCTTCTATTCAGAGCACAACATGAGACCTAGAATTCAAGCAAATGTACCTAAGATAACCCTCTTCACAGCATTAGCATCAGCAATTCACTTAACTTCTCTCTGCTTTAGGCTTCTCATCTGTATGATGGGCTAAGTAACAGTGTTTACCTCATAAAATTGTTTCAGGGGTCCAATGTGATAACGGATGAAAAGCACTTATCACAAAGCCAGCCTAGCACAGTGTTCCCCAAACTTCTCAAATTTATCCCCCGAGAATTTTGATAGCATAAGTTGGAGCCTGAGAATCTATGTATTTACCAAGCACAGAAATTCTTATTTCCAGGGAAATTTGGGAAGCAATGCTGTGGCAATACCAACAGCTCAATAAAGAGTAGCTATTTTTACTATACTACTTTCATCGTCATCATCACGGGGAATTCTTTTTTCTTTTAAACAAACAAGTTTATATTTATTACACACATATGAAAGCATTAATAAACTTAATCTTTAAGAATGGTTTTGGATTCAAGAGTACATAAATCCTGGATTCTTATTCTGGCTCTACCTGCTAGAGCAGTCTGACCTTCAAAATATTTAATCTCTGTGTCTCAGTTTCTTCATCTGTAAAATAGGTTGTTGTTACTGGTAAGGGTTGTGGTAATGGTTATCTAGGATAATGGATCTAAAGTAGCTGACACACAGTAGGTCATTAAGTTACGACAGATTTTCCTTCTTTTAAACAACTGCTCAAATACTTTTAAAAACAATTATCTAACTCTTTTCCCCAATTAGATCTTACATAGAGGGCCATTACATAAACAGAGAAAACAGAACTGTTGTGGCTCATGGTTGGATGGAGATCTTACCCTTTCCTCACCAGACTCCTCAACTGGCCCTTGAGTTACTTCCACGGAGCTTTGTGTAATGTTTATAAAAAATTCTGTCCTAAATAACAGAAATGTCAACTGACCTTTAACACTAGGATTTCTTGAATTTATAAAGCATATCTTTTGGAGAATGTAAAGATGTCTTACATAGTTAGCAACTTATGCCATCTGAAATGTACTCACGTGATGGAGAATTCTGCTTGAAGATAACGTTAAGGGAAAGATTCAACAATATTGGTGGATTCTGCAGCATAATTGAATCTAGTTATCTTGACTGTGGTCTGATATGGACATGGTTCCACTGTTTGCAGAACTGGGAGGCTTGTAACCAAATCCAAACCACTCCCAGCTTGAAGCTCAAGGACATTCTTTCAATTTTACACTTGTTTAGGTGGGGAGGGACCGTAACTTGGAACAAGCACTTGGATCTCACTCAATATATTCAATGGCTATAAATCTAACCCATGATTCATTGCCACGATTCCCCTGGGTTTGAGAAACAAAAAAGAGTCTATGGAGCGCTAATCACCACATTCTGACTGGGGCATCCTAAAGAAGGGAAGGATCCTGGGGCCACAGCATTAAAGAACAGTGAAAAAATCTCATTGTCCAATGCTTTCGCATAGGGCCTTGTGCCCCTTTTAACTATTCAAACTACTATTTATCCATTCTTCTTAGACACCCAAGGACAAAGCCTTTTATAAATTCCTCTCTGTGTTTGACTGCTTCAATGGTTCTTAAACTCCTTACAATCAGTAACACGTATTTTAGTTATTTTTCTGTTTTCTGTGATGTAATTTTTTCGGCTTTTCCCAATCCTTACCCAGGGAGAAGAAACAAAATCATATAATTTATTGTGCTTACTTCAGTATCTAGCATAGAAATTTCTAACTAATGTATCATTGAGAAGATTCATGAACCAGTTTTATCCAGTTTAAGGGTGTCTTAATTTAAAGTCCTTTGTTTTGAGCATACCTCTCTAATCATTGACTGCCGCTTGTCTACTTCTCTACATTCTCATTGTTAAAATAATAACAATAGATTTCTATAAGGGCGTGTCATATTAGGATGGCGCCTAGTCTAGGGGGCCTTCACGTAACTGAATTCCACCTTGTCCCAGAGGTGTTGTCTGCTAAGGGGAAAGGATGCGTAGGTATCAGCGGGAAGGAAAAACAAGGTGACTATTTTTAGTTGGGTCTCTGGCCCAAAATCTTAATGTAGAACTCCCAGAAGTTGGCTGGACCGTGAAGAAGGCTTTGCCAACCCCTAACCACCATCTCTCTTGTCCCCTAGCGCTACTCTGGGATTCAAAACTTATTCTCTAGTTAAGTGAAAATTACATTCTATAACATCAAAGAAAAAGCACCCAGAAAGACCTAGAAGAAGAGTGTCTATTAGTTAGGATAGAGTAGCTTTAAAACACAGACCTC